TGGAAGACTGTTAAGAAAGTTATGAGGTATCTTTAAGGTACAAAGAATCATATGTTGACTTACAGAAGGTTAAATTTTCTTGAGGTTGTTCGATATTCTGATTATGACTTTAAGGGATCAAAAGATCTTGAAATTGTTGGCTTTTCAGATTTAGATTTTGCCTCTTGTCTGGATGATCGTAAATCCATGAAAGGCTATATTTTCACGTTGTTTGGAGGAGCTGTCTCTTGAAAAAGTGTGAAACAGACACTTACGATAGTTTCATCTATGGAAGCTGAATATATTGCTTGTTTTGATACTACACGTCACGCTATATGGCTGAGAAAGTTGATATCTGGCATGCGCCTAGTTGAATCAACATCACGTTCTCTAACCATTTACTGTGATAACAAATTTACAGTATACTATGCTATAATCACAGAAATTCCAGCCGTACAAAACATTTTGATATCAAACTTATGTTTGTTAAAAAGAAAATTGTTGAGTCTCAAACCCGTGTGGTACACATTCCTGGCACGCAGATGCTTGCAGATCCGCTGACTAAGGGCTTACTTGTAGAAGTTTTTCAAAATCATGTAACTTGTATGGATATTATGAATTCCTTTGATGTCCTGGTTTAGTAGGAGTTTGAGAACCTTTTATGTTGCAATTTCTCTTTAGGCTTCGTTTTCTTCTGTGAGTTATGTTTAGTTCAGTTAGATGCGTCTATATCATTTATATCCTCATAAGATTCAATGATTCTGTTGTGGTACGCTATGCATGTCACTTGTTTCCCCATATGAATCAGTGATTTATGTCGTTATTTTACTGAGCTGTGTTTGGAATAAAAATTTCGTATTTTATTCAGATTATGAGACATTATATCACTTGTTTCCTTATAGGATCTAGTGATTTTGTGGAGTTTCATTTTTCTGAATCTTGTTTGTGGCTTGTTTATACAACTTACTTAATTAACACAATCTAAGTGGTAGATTGTTGGAATATTTATTTAATTATGTATTAACATTAATTAATAAGCCCAAACAGATTGGTCTTTATGATCTTGTGTGGACCGTGATAGGAGGACCACACAAGTGAGCCCAATAGGTAGAGCCCAACCTACAATCTAGTAGTCATCAGTTATTCTCTATCTCTTAACTGACTAAGTTAAAGATAATGAAATATATAATTATTTATTATTTAATAAGGTGATTATCGATTTGATCTATATAAGACGATTAGTTAATAACCACAAGACACGCTACTCATTTTTCTACTTCCACTATCTCTGAACTCTCTGAAGGCTCTGGGGACCAGTGGATTGTGTACCTGCCTACACTCGAGGTAATCGAGCTTTTTCAGGCGCTCATGGATTCTTCAGGTATACATACATTACTTTACTTATTTCTATAAATTGAGATATACAGATCTAACTGTTGTGACTATTAGAAACCTCAAACTAGCTATTAGAATGTTTGTGGAGTGTTGCTTTTGCGTAAAAGTATTTTTTTCGCTAACTCCTGAATGAGACAGACAGCATGGTTTCTAAATGAGCAACAACATACCATAGCGTGAAGACATAATGGCTCATCACATGAATGAGAAGGCTAGAAGCAAACGACCTCTCTAGAGTATTGATTCAAGCATTCATGAGAATCTGTCATCACATGAATGGGAGATTTTTGGCAGGCCTTTCTATGAAACTGAATCACAAGTGAACAAGGTTTGTTGTTACGTGAACACTTGATATGAACGAACAACATAAAACTTGGGATTTTTCAATGAATTGTTTCATTTTTTGGAAAGAACTTCAAGTCTTTTCTGAATAATTTATTCATACGTGGAAGAGATGGTTCATCGCATGAATGAAAATGAAGGCTTAGACTGAAGTTACACAAAGAAGACTCATTGTTGTTCCAGAATGCTTAACATTGTTTAGTCTCTGTCATCATCGCATGAATCAACCTGATTTATGAGTGAATGAGTAAGCCAAAACCAAGGAACTTACTAGGTGGCTTATCATCGCGATAAAGCTTTATGGTTCATGTGTAAATGAGTGAATGGAGTCTAAGAATCATTTTCAAAACACATGATTCATGTGTGCATGGGAGTGATTGATACGTGAATAGGTAAGTTCAAAACAGATCAATGCTTTTCAAAAAGGTTTTTCAAGCTATGTTTAAATACTCTTGTTGCAGTTTTGATAAGAAAATGTTTTCATGCTAATGCAAAAGCTCTCTTGACTGGCCCTTTGACAATCAAATTTCAAGAGAAAACAAAATTAAATCCTTAAATCATGCAAAAACAATTTTTCTCAAGCTTTATTATCGTCAAGACACATGTTTTACAGCATTTTTCCCTTTTTTTTTATGATAACAAAACCTAAGATTTTTGTCAGTATTTTCAAGTAAAAAAAAACTCTCCCTTAATTAAATAGTCCCCTTAGGTCTTTTTTTTTTTTTGAAAAATGATAATAAAATTCCTCTAAAATGTATAAATGATAATTTGATCTCTCAAAATGCAATAATTCTCTTGAAATTCTTAAGGATTTTTTTTTGTCATTAATAAATTTATATAAATTACCAAGTTGCCCTTGTTAAAAATAAATGATTCACAAGTTTTGTTTAAACATTCACAACTTTTCTTCTTATATTCGCAATAATGCAATAACAAATCACAACATTACATGTTAATTCTTTATTTACTATTGTATTATTGCAAACATAAGAAGAAAAATTGTGAATGTTTAAACAAAACTTGTGAATAATTTATTTTCAACAAAAGTAATTTGATAATTTATATAAATTTATTAATGACAAAAAAGTCTTTAGAAACTTCAGGAAAATTATGACATTTTAAAAAATTAAATATCATTTATACATTTTACAGAGACTTTGTTGTCATTTTTTTTTCTCTCAATTTATTTTAAGAGAAATTTTTTCCCTACCATCTAATGCTTGTTCTTTCTTGTATGTTTCGCCAACCCAATCTCAAAGTTTTCAAGAATCGATATTCATTGCCAATTCATTTCACATAGCCCTTCTCCTTATTACCTAATTCCAATTCCGTTGGGCAGGAAAAATACACTTTCTAGTCTTCTCATATTCATTTGTTTTTTTTTTTGGGCATAAAAACTTCGAGAGAAACTTTAAATGAGGGTAAATTAAAAAAAAAAAATCTCACCTTTTTATCTAAGGGAGCGTATAGAAACTTGATCGATCCCTATCGTCTCATCTCTGTCTTGGTCTCTTTGGGACAAGATAGGACAGTTCCAATGATGAAATAAGGATTAAAAAAAAAAAAAACACTGAAATTTAAACAAATGCATATTTGAAATGGAACGAGATATGAGATGACCATCTAAACACCTTGCCCCTGAAAATTTGAGCAGGTCGGGCTTCAAGCTTGAACCCGAACAAGCCCGACTTTTCAAAAAGCTCGAATAGCTAAACCCGACCTGAATTCCTTCGGGTGGCTCGAATACCTGAATTTTATTTTTAAAATCATTTTTAATTAAAATTTTTACTTTAACATTAATTATTTTATTTACAAAAAATATAAAATATATTTTTTTAATGCTTAAATGATGTATAAGACTCAAATATATGGTATTTTAATATAAAATGACCTAAAACTTAAATAATTAATTAATATTTATTATTTTTATATATTTTATAAAAATAAAAAAAATTATTCGGGTATTCGGCGAGCTTAGCCCGAATTTTCTCAGGCCTAGCTTGAATAGGCCCGAATATAAAAACATCATAATTTTTCTAACCCTGACTCTAACTTTTTTCGAGCAGATTTCAATTAACTTGTTGCGTTCGATTTGAATTACCGGCTATACTTGTCCCATCTTGAATGTCTGCACACACGTGCTACTGTACCTATAAAATTCATTTTATTATTTAACATTAAACGTTAACCATTTCCCTGTATTTCATGTTTTAGATTTATAAGAAATTTTTATTATTTTATATCTTGATAAAATTGTTGAAAGATAATAATTAAATTAGACGGATCCTTTATTGTTGTTGAAAAGATGTGCTTGAATATTTAGAATTTAAAGACATTGATATTTTTAATGAGACTGGTTGCTTAATTCTAATGCCCAGAGGCAAAATAGTGGCTCTTTTTTTTTTTTTTTTTTAAATCTTATGCTTCATACAAGTATGACAAATACCTTTTATTGTATATTCTCTTCCCCAATCTCTTTCCATTACTGTGTCTTTTCATCAGGATTTCATCGTCTTATTGACAAGACAAGATACAAGTTTAAAAAGTTCTATCTCATTCTCTGTTTTTTCTAGGACATGACACGAGACAAAGCAATCCTAATTGGTATTCTTCCTAGTGTTATTATTTAAGTTGTATTCTTCCTAGAGTTATTATTTAAGTTGTGCTCAATTTAAGTCAAATTTATTTAACATATAAAAAAATTCATATCATCAAACATGGCCTAAGACCTTAGACTTTTAGGAATATTCAAGCTTTCCTAAATATTCAAATTATTAATTTTTTTTAGTTAATTTTAATTTTTATCTTAAAAAATTAAAATTTTTCAAGCCATCACATGATAATGCACTTTTTTTTGTTCTTATTATAATAAGACCAAGCAGTGAAAGAATAAAGTAAAAGCACAAAATAACCTCATGTTTATTTTTCCATAATATTTTAAAATTTATTCACGCAAACAATTATTAAAATATTAAAATTTTATTTAAAAGTGCAAAATGTGCAAATTGAGGGTTTTGAGAAGAGTTTGTAAGTGCTAAATAAAAGTTGAAGTAAAGACTAAATTTATTTTATTAATAATAAAAAAATTGAGTATTTTCACTAAGCCCATGCGGTGGCCTGAATAAACTCATAATTAAAAAAACAAAAAAATTAATCTCGAGTCAGTCCCTAAAATTTTTCGGCGCTTGACTCAAATTTCCTTCCCAACCTGTTGCTATGATCACTGACGTGAACAACAAAATTTCAAATACACGTATTCTATGATGCAAATTAAAATAAATAAATAAATAAATAAATGTACTTCCAACTATTATAGAAATGTGTCTGCAACTTATTTGCTGACACGTTCCAAATCAGTCATGAAAATAGCAGCTTTTGGTCACCAACATCTAAACTGAATGGCCACTCACCTATTCAAAATGCTCTTAACTATGTACGCTTATCATAAGTAACTGGTCATTATCATTTTCCAGCAATACAAGCACTGTGAAAAACTGTGAAGTATAAAATCACTCACTCAGGTCACTGCCAAACATAGTTCACATAATGGATTGATTGGATACATTAAAATACATACAAATCACTTCCACAGCTTCCGCAATGACATGTTCTTCTCGGTTTCCTTTTTCATGACCTTGGCTACAGCCATCTCAAAATCTTCCTGTGTTACATGGACCCTTCTCTCCCTCAGAGCAAACATTCCGGCTTCCGTGCACACCGCCTTTAATCACACGCATGAATATTCAATGTTAGCTCCAAATGCAACCAAAAAAAGAAAAAAGAAAAAAGAAAACCATTACTTTGGAATAGACAACATATCAGACCTGCCTTTACCGCTAGGACTTGATGTAAAATACTTTCTACTCCTAAATATAAGAGCTAGTTTGGGGTTTGATGTGGGATAATCAATAATTTGGAAAGTTAAGAGATATATTAGGAATAAATATTATTTTAAGTTATTTTAGATATTCTCCTTTTAATTAACAATATTTCTAAAAGCTTAATAAATAATAAAATACAATTGAGTCATATAATCCATGTAGCCGACTCCACCTAATAGAATAAGGTTTGTTGTTGTTGTTAGATATTCTCCATTTAACAAAATTATTTAGGTTATTTTCTGTTTTGTTGAACGGCCCTTAAATATAAGAGTGGTGAGTGCTTGCAAATTAAGTCAATAATTTATTTTATTTATTTCAGGTTGTTATGCCCCATTATCTAAGTTATGGATTAATGGAAATCTTTTAAGGAACTATTCATTATTTTCCTATCTATCATTATTGAGGCACATATCATGTGGAAGGCATCTGGAAATACAATCATTATTTATTTATATTTTGGAGATTCTCCATGGTTTTATTAGTTATATAAGTTTAAGATTCTTGCCCATCTTCTACTAAAGATTTTCCACTATCTTTATTAATGCATGGTTTAGATTGAAGACAAGTATTTTTGAGAATCAGTTTGATTTTATACCAGGTAGATCAACTACAAAAGCGATTTATCTATTAAGGGGATTAATGGAAAAGTATCGTTGTAAAAATAAAGATTTACACATGGTTTTTATTCATTTGGAAAAAGCTTATGACCGTATATCAAGAAAAGTGCTTTGGAAAGCGTTGGAAAAAAAGAGAGTACGGATTGCTTATATTAAAGCCATACAAGATATGTATGAGGGGGTAAAAACTAATATAAGAACGCCTAGTGGTCAAACAAAGGATTTTTCTATAAAGATTGGACTTCATCAGGGATCATCTCTGAGTCCTTATCTGTTCAACTTGATCCTAAATGTTTTGACGGAACATATTCAAGGAGAAATTCCCAAATGTATACTCTTTGCAGATGATATAGTTCTTATAGCAGAGACAAGAGAAGAGGTTAATTGCAAACTTGAGTTATGGAGGAGGACATTGGAGTCGAAAGGTTTCTGAATAGGAGTAAGACAGAATATTTATATTGGAAGTGAAATTGGGAGATCAAATTATACCTCAAGTGGAAAAGTTTAGATATTTGGGAGCCATTATTCAAAATGATGGCGAAATCAGTGGAAATATTTCACATAGGATTCAAGCTGGGTGGTTTAATAGGAGAAAAGCTAAAGGAGTTATTTGCAATCGTAAAGTGCCTAATAAACTTAAAGGAAAGTTTTATCGAACTGCTATCAGACCGGCAATGTTATATAGTAGTGAATGCTGGGCTCTAACGGGATAACAAGAGCATAAAGTTGGAGTAGCAGAAATGAGAATGTTACAATGGATGTGCGGACATACACGTAAAGATAAAATTCGAAATGAGCACATACACGAAAAAGTGAGAGTAGCACCTATTGAGGAAAAAATGGTAGAAAATCGGTTGAGATGGTTTGGGCATGTACAAAGAAGATCAAGGGAGACACCAGTGAGAAGAGTGGAACATATAACTTTGAGTCCGATTAAGAGGAGTAGAGGAAGGCCTAAGAGAACACTCTTAGAAGTTGTTGAACGCGATCTCTTAATAATATTCTTAAAAGCTTGATAAATGATAGCACAATGGCGTCTTGCAATCCATGTAGCCGACCCCACCTAGTGAGATAAAGGCTTGTTGTTGTTGTTGTTGTTTTATTAATGCATGGAGTTAGATTCTAATTTCATATATTAATAGAGACTTTTCTTCGTTATTTTTCTCTACCTATCTTGGATCCTATCAAGGTTTGCTTTGGTCCACGAAGTAAGACCTCAATCTCCTGTCTCCCCTATTTATTTATTTTTTTCCCCTAAACTACCTATATAGTTGGATTCTTATATGATGAATAAGCTATATTAAAAGTAAGGGTATTTTAGAAAACCACCACATATTTTTTACAAAAAAACTAACTTACCTAATTTTCTTGATCTATATGAATAGGTTAACTATCACTATACTTGGGACCGGAGGGAGCATTATTTTGTGTGAATCCTTCTACAATCATTCTACAAGCATTTGTCGAACAGCCTTGTACCATATGATGGAATTGCTTAACAAATCTCTTCATTGTTTGACCACTGTATCTATCTGTTACGCATTACATGCCACAAGATCCCAAGTCTCAGCCCGTCTTCTATCATCTTATCTGACATATGAAACTATCCTAAAGACAGACTAACACTCCACTATTACAACTGTCGAACTGTAACTCTTATTTTGTCTCTTAAAGTGTTTTGTAGTGCCTGTCTCTGTTGCTCAGAATTCAGACATATAATGCTCGTCAAAATTGAATTGCATCTCCAAGTTGGGAAACTCTCTTTAATGTAACAAAAGTAGCGGTCTCCATTTAATCAATCCATCCCAAATATATATATTGATTCCATCAGCCCGCTATCCTGGGAAACCTAGGGATATTACCATGTGCTGTCTGGACCGATCCAAACCCCCACTGTGCAGGACCATTATTATCAATGGTAGCATCATAGGTACCTGAAGGATATCTTTAGCATATTTATTTAACATGGCTACATATCATAAAATTCAAACTCGAAACCCTAAGATAAGCTGATTCAATTCCCTCAACTAATCGAACCAAGTGCCCCTCGGTTCCATCCCAAATATATTGATGGTGTATATTTTCATAGCTCAAACTTACCTTTGTTCTCAAAGCTTATTCCTCGGAAGCGCTTATCCCCATCCTATCATATGAATTATGACTACCAATCAAATTTAACACAATCTTAAAACTCTCCAAAATTCACACTTTTTTAAGACTTGCTTCAATTCAATTGAACAAAATCCCCTGCTTCTCAGCAAGAATGCAACATGACAGTTTGCAACAATGGCTAACGGAATTGGATAGCTACAATGATAAAGTAATCATTGAAACATTGAAAACACCAACACTTCTCAGCAACTACCAACCATTGCTCAAACAGGGACCATTAACAAGATCGCAGATTGAAGAGCATCAAAATTCAAAGAAGAAACGCAAAAGAAAAAAAAAATTACCTTGAGCTCTGCACCAGAAGCACCATTCATTTTCTCAGCAATTTTCTTCAGATCAATTCCACGCATCAAATTCATTCTTCTAGAGTGGATTTTCAAAATATCCCATCGAGACTGCAGGGAATTCAAAAGAAATCATGTTGAGGAAGATGAATATTTATGAATTGCAGTTATTCACCCTTTCATCATAACAAGTACATGAAAATGAAATGACGAAAGCATTGATGCATACCTCTTCATTAGGGTTTGGAAATTCAATCTTCCTGTCAATCCGTCCAGGTCTAAGGAGTGCTTGATCCAGGATATCAATACGATTTGTTGCCATCAAAACCTGTAAATTATAGATCTCTCCAGAACTTAGCTGAAAACTACTCACTTAAATGAATGAGCTGGGTACAGTGATTGATTTGCCTATACGTTACAGAATCCACATATATTCAGCACGGAAACAACACTAATCACCTTTCCTAGTTAGTAATTACAACATTATAACACAACTCTGAAGGACGCATTACCTTGATCTTATTTGAAGCCTCAAATCCATCCAGCTGGTTGAGAAGCTCTAGCATAGTGCGCTGCACCTCACTATCACCATTGCCACTTCCAGATTCCATCCGAGCAGATCCAATGCTGTCAATTTCATCCATGAAGATAATAGATGGAGCATGCTCCCTACGGAAAGAAATTGTTCTGCCATAAGATATATGCCAACAGCCAAGCAAGTCCAATGACGAACAAAAACATTGAATCGCAAAAGACTTTGCAATATTCATGCCCCATGCCATTCATACACAACATTCAACCTTAGAATTGTCTTCTATCCACAATGTGAAGGAGCAAAACCGACAGCATTCTTTATTTGTTCTCTTTTGGGGTGGGGTGATAGATGAATGGGAATTAACAAAAAGTACAAACCTGGCCATAACAAAAAGTTCTCTAACCATTCTAGAACCTTCTCCAATGTATTTCTGAACTAACTCAGAACCAGATACCCTGATGAAAGTGCAATCAGTATGGTGTGCCACAGCCCTAGCCAACAATGTCTTCCCTGTACCAGGAGGTCCATACAGTAGGACGCCCTGTGGCATGTGAAGAAGAGTGAGCAAATAAGCAAACCAGAAAGGGTACAAGCATGCATGGGAGAAGAACCAAACTCAAGCAACTATTCTTGGCTGAACAGAGGATAAATAATTTCTGAAATAACTTCAACACAATATATTACCTTTGGTTGAGCTATTCCAAGGCTTTCAAACAGTTCAGGATGTTTTATTGGCAGCTCAATGACCTGTGAAAATAATTTCCAAATATGAGATTAAGCAACAATTGTAATGGTTTACATAACTACAAGATATATAATACCAAGATATATGCACAAATTCAAATAGAGGTTCAGAAAGTGATGGAGAAGCAGTGCTGCATAGACATACATCAAACCAAACAGATGCACTAATTTTTGGAGTTTATACTGAAATTTAAGAGGGAACACCTCTTTTATCTCTTTGATTTGCTGGTCAAGGCCACCAATCATGTCATAGGTAGAATCAGGAACTTTCTCAACTTTCATCAGGTTGACCAACGGATCAACTTTGCTAGGCAAGATCAAATGAAGAACATAACTGTCATTGCGGAGGGCAACCCTAGTTGATGGAGTAATCTTTGTAATATCAATACTTTTATCAATATCAACAACATATTTTCCTTCTGGGTGAACCTGAAGAAAATGAAAGGAATTAGTTTTTCTGCTTTATTTGCATTCTATAACAGCAGCCTCATGCACGAATAAGCATAATTTTCAGAGGATAAAATGATCAATTTACAACAGATATTGCGGAAACACAACAAATGAAGTATGGTCTCAAGCATGACCTTTTTGGTATTTTCTTGCATGATTGATCAAAGATGCCACCAATCAGGCAAAACACCTATGTTGCAACAAATTTTTTTGGCCAATTATGTTGCAACAATTAAGAGTACTGATGTCACACTAGCATGGGTACACGTGCTGAGTAAATAAAATTATCATGAAGAGGTATGAATAGGGTGAAACAGGCTACAGTGATATCTACAACAACTATTTTAATGTATAACAACACCAACCACACAAAATCCACAATGAACATTCCACATTCTATAACATACAACATGGCTAATTATAATTCAAGGGGCAATGCAGATGACTATTGTGAATTAGGTTATCAGGCATATAATTTTGTAAAAATAGTAATTGATGAAAACATCATATGGGGGATGGAGAGTTGTTCATCACATCCTATTCTAATAATTGAAGTGCAGCAAACTGTGGCAGTAGGTAAAATTGTTTCCTTTTACTCCCAAATTCAGCTCAAGGAATATATATATATATATATATTATAAATCATGTAGACCTTTGCCGGATACCCTAGATTTAAAAAAAAAAAAAACTAGAACAATTTTCGCAAGTCATCTGACTTGATGGTTTCAAATACATGCTCTATATTATTAATGTGCAGATAATAAATAAGCAGTAGATACTCAATTATGCAGCTAAACACATTCTAAGAAATTTTTCTTGCAACGTGCATTGTATTTAAAAGAAAATAGAAATTGTGCATGTTAAGGCAACTAAAGGGATACCAAAGCTTCAAAGCCACATCACTAATCAAATAAGAGAAATAGCAGAATGCACCATCAGCTCACCTTTACTAAAACTTTATTTTTTCCCATAACTTTGACAACTTCACCAACATATGATCCAGGCTCCTGAAGAAGTTGCAGTTCCTCTCGAAGCATTCTCACTGTCCCGATTTTGCATTGTTAAGAACACATTAATCAAACAATGGATTGAGAACACAGAAAAAGCAGTGCAGAGAGGCAATCAAAACCAAGAATTTTGACATGAATCACAGCCATCCACACCCTCTATGTGAAAGACTGATCAACACTTCTATGATTTAGAAGAATTTCCCATGCCAATATCAGAAAACAGTTATTTCATAGTGAATGAAATCAGGTTTTTAAATCTAGAACCAGCATTGTATTGAAATGTTTGGCAATTACATCCAAAAACAAAAGAATCTTAAAATCACAAAGAAAATAATTTCAAGCTTGGAGTTAGTTTTAGTGCAAGAAAATCACCCTTGGAATTAAGCTCATTTCGTTGAGCTTCCAGACGGTTGAGGTTATTGGTCTTTTGGCGGACCTGAAGCTGAAGTTCATGGATATGCTGAAGGTAGTATTGACGAAGACCCTCATCCTGCTTAGCAGGCTTGGCCGAGCACGTCTCCTCTCGTGCCACCTCTGGTTGCTTAAATTCCACTCCTACCGTTGCCATTGGAAGCCCTTCTGTGACCAGAGATAAAATTAATTAATATAAATTAAATATTGATCAGGCAAGAATGGCAATATAAATGTAAAACTTGTAAAAAAAAAAAAAATTGAATCATTGTTGAAGACAATAATTTTTTACAGAAGAAATTTGAAGCAATTTTTTCTCAATACAGTCAAATGCATGATAAGCCAAAGAAAAACAATTTTTTGGTTACATTCAAAATGAACCCACTACATCCTACCTTTTATAATTAAAAAAAAAAAAGCCACTTCCATGTTAAAATATCTAATTTCTACAACTTCAAGTGTAGCCTGCAACTATCTTATAAATAAAACCCTCTCCTATAAGGTGGAAAACTACTCAAGCAAACCAGTGTATTTAATTCATTTCTGCTCTACTTTCTCCCCTCTCATGATATGAGACAAAATCATAGGTATATTATGTAAACAAGAATCCCCAAATAATCCACATACTATCATCTAAACTAAATATTCACACACACACATCATAGTTGGATAACTTCCCTAGGCCATCAAGGATTATAGGCATTTAATTATCTCAACTAGGAAGGGTTCGTTTCTATCAAAAATGCTCAAACAAAAAAATATATACATATAAAATACATCCTCTTGGAAGATGAAAAACTAATTCCAACCACCATTGTATTTAATACATTTATCCACTGCAAACGAAATTAATGGGAAACAAACTCAATTCTCTTCCCTTACTATTCTTGCCTCGCAAATGATATAAAACCATTGGTATATTACATGGACAACAAATCCAACCTAATCCATACAACAATAACTAAATTATATACCCATCTTTAAAAGAGAACAGAACAGAAAAATTTATAAATGAGTCAAATAAAGTTAAAAACATCTAGTATTGAATATATATATATATATATATATGCACATTGATAATTTTAGAGAACTTCAACAGTTATCAAGGATTACAGGTACAGTCATTGGTAGTGAGATTGAACAAAAATAGAACAAATTTCACTTCATCATTCTCCACTTCACATTTAATATCACTAATGACTCTAAGACCTCATAACATGAAGCTCACACACTCTCTTTTTCTTTCTCTATATAATTTCTCCACCTCAACAGGCATTGTTTTGTTTGTCAGATTCAATACAAAATATTATTCTTGGTATACTCAAGTTTAAGTACGACATTGTAACCCGATAAATCGTCTTTTCCTTTTAATGATGACAGTAAGGGAAAACAATAGCAAAGTTCTATTCAGAATCAAAGTTCAGTGCAAGGAAATGACGTGGTTAGGTACATTGAAATTTTCTTAACTAGCATAGTTCTTTTTAACATAACAGTGGCAGGCTAAGGAAGCCTGAGAAAAAAGAGAAATAAGTCAAAAAAGAACTACTAAGCACGAGGCCTATCTTCCTGAAGCAAATTCACACAATCAAGAGGAACGTTCGGTAATAGCTCCAAAGTCTGCGCACATCCATGTGCCTGTCGTGCTAAGAGGTCTGCACACCGAACAGCTTCACGAGGTGAATGTAGGATCTGAATGTCATGTCCACAATACGGTAAATCTCTGATAGAAGAGATAGTCTCCTTCAGTGGGTGATCCACCCCCCCCCCCAAGTTTCACGCAGCAAAATATTGATAGTATCAAGAGAGTCAGAGTGAAGTTGTACTCTAGTCAAATTCATCTGGGCACAAACCTCCAATCCTGTTCCCCCCCCCCCCATACACCTTAATGACCCCAATCATAATTCAAAGACTCAAGACGTTTATCACATCGCAGATACAATATCCCATCTAGGTGTTTTTTAATACTGCGAAATAAAGAAAGAAAGATCGAAGCTACGAAGACGAAGATGAGACTGCGTGAAAGTAGAAGAGAGAAATATACCTCTCCAAAGACGATAAACAAGCTGGAGCACGAAAGTAAGAAGAGGCTGAGAATCAGAGCAAGCCAAGCGAGCGGCAAGAGGCAGAGGCAGCAAGCAGCAAGCAGCGAGCAGCGATTAAGGGAGTAAACGAAGCAATTAAATCGCCATGAATATCAAATCATTTAAGTGCGTGTTTGGTTACGTTTTTAATCGATTTTTTTTCCCCCTTTTATTAGCCAAACACTTGAAAAAGCAAAGAAATCGATTTTTTGGTTAAAATGGATTTTTTTTCAAAAGCTAAGATTGTGAGTTTTTCCCAAAAAAAAAAATCAAAAAGTATTGAAAAAAATTAAAAAAAAAGTTCAAAAAAAATTATTAAAAAGAAACAAAATTTTCATAAAAATAAAACTAAAATTTCTTCTCTTCTCTGTTTTTTTTTAATAAAATTTAAATTTTAAATCCTCAAAAAAGTTATTAACATAAATTCTTGTCAACTACCATCTTCTACTTAACATTTACTATAAAATTAATTCAAACAAAATATTAATTGATAAAGAAAAATTAATTTATATATTATCATTTCCATTAATTATTATAAAATTGATGTTTGATATTTAAGAATTAAATCTTTTTCTTATATTAAATTTATTTGAACTAAGATATATTGAGTTATTTATTTACATAAATTAAATTATTAATATTAATATAATTTAAATTAATCAAATATGTAATTTAAATAATATATTATACTTCTTAAATAAAATTTAAAAAATTTAATAATATTAGATACAAATACATTAATAATTTAATTTTAAAAAGCAATGTCCTTTATAGTAATTTATGCAATGAAAATTAATTTTAAATAAATTATCCAAACATCTTCTATCATGTTAAAATTAATTTTAGAAAAACTGTATTAAAACAGATTGTGTTATCACACAATCAATTATAATTAAAATCAATTATTTTTATAATTAATTATATTCAATTAAAATTTAAACAGGCCCTAAATAAATATTTAGTTGGATTTTCCTTTGAACAAAATGGATTTTAAGTTAACTACGAGATGGATCAAATGACTTATGGGCAGAGGTTGTGTGTCATAAGTATAATTATGGAAAAGAGCTCTCTTCAATCCTAAAGGTTCTTGGTAATACTTCTAGTTTATGGAAAGATTTAGCAAAGGTATGGGATTATACGAATTGTTTTGCTTGGAAGGGAGTGGCTGATAGTAAAATGATTGCCTTCTAGGAGGACTATTGGGTGGACAAGGGTACTAAATTGGCTAATCATTGTTTAGTGGATATAGATTCAAATATGAGAGGTTGGAAGGTGGCAAATTTAGTAGATAAGGAAGGTGGATAGGATTGGAGGAGTTTGGAGGGATTGCTTGATCGAGAAGGGAAGGTTTGGCTAGAAGGTGTGACTCCTCCTTGTGGGAATGGGAGAGATAGGTTGTTATGGAAGGATAGGGAGGGGGCCTACTTTATTAAGAAGGGATATAGGTGTATAAGGGGTCATTTGTTGGGTGTGAAGGATAGTTTATGGGTTTGTGTTTGGAAATGAAAAGGGCCAAAGAGGATTCGGTGTTTTCTTTGGATGTTAGGGAATGACAGATTGCACACTAGGGCCTTAAGAAATAAAAGATGGGGCACTAATGGTGTTTGTGATGTTTGTGACAGTCTTAAGGACTTGTTGCATGTGGTTTGGGATTGTAAGGTTGCTGAGGAGATTTAATGGGAGATAAATAGTTCAGTTAATGTTAATTTATAAAGAACCACCACAAAATTGGCTCAAAAGAAATCTATCTAGTAGTGAGAAGGTTAGAAGTGTACCTTGGTCAATTGTATTTGTTGTTGTCTGTTGGGTTCTTTGGAAATGTAGAAATGCAAGACTCTTTGGGTCGAGCCAAACTTGTGCTAAGATAAGATGCTTTAGAATTTGGTGATTTGCTGTACAAATAGCGCATGCAAGGGGAGTGATGGAATAATTTATTGTGAAGGAAGAGGGCGAAGTCAGTAGGTGGCAACCACCAGAGGATGGATGGGTATTAATACTGATGGAGCTTGTACAGGATTTTAGGGCTAGCGGCTTGTGGGGGTATTGTTCGTAATGAGCAGGGGGACTAGATTTGTGGTTTTGCTGAGAGATTGGATCTCTGTAGTATGCTGGAGGCAGAGGGTTGGGGTGCTTTAAGGGGTTTGGAGATTGCTTGGAATATGGGCTGCAAGAAGGTTACTCTAGAAGTTGATTCGCTTAATCTAGCAAGGGTGTTAAAGGGTAAGCATCAGGTTGAGGAGAGGGCTGGAAGTGTCATGGAGAAGGTGCTGAAGCTATTAAAGGAAAGATGGGAGATCCATGTTCAAGCTATGTAAAGGATTGTGAATGGGTGTGCTGATGGAATGGCAAAGGTTAGATTAAGGTTGCTGGAAGGGTTTTGACAGTGGGATACTGCGTATCCTAGGGTGTTTGAGGAGTTTGAAAGGGATAAGATTAGTGTGGTGTCAGGCGCTTCTCCTGAAGCTAGGTTAAGGGAGGTTTAGTTTTAATTTTTTTTTTTAGGCTTTAGCCCCTTTAGTACCAGAAAAATGAATGTTAAGTTAAATTCAAAATTTTAACTTTGTTGTTGTTGTGGAAAACATCATCTAAGGCCCTTATAAACACAATTTCAATTAAGACCCAAAGCATTTTGATGTTTTTTTCCTATAGGCCCAGGAGCCTCAATTTTTTTAGGCCAAAGGCCTTGAATGAGATTAACAAATGTGTGTTTTGTCTCTAGTAGAGTTTCAATTAAGATCCTCATAACCAAAATATATACATTAAAGGATCCTCGTAACCAAAATATATGCATTAAAGACTCAAAATAATATACTTCCCTGCAATTAAATTTTTCTGCTAAAATGATACAAATGTCCTTGTCTCTTTTTTAGAAAAAAAATGTCATATTTATAATGGTGGAAGCCACAGCACTAGCCACTAGAGCTCTATCATCAATAAAGGGGCAGCCATCACTGATAGCCAAGCCCTTATTTCCTGAACTAACAAAGCCTTTTCATTATAAAAGGAAAAATGACAATCAAGTCCCAAAAGATTAATTTTATACTAGTTAAGTCCCAACTAATTGTAAAAGACCAATGAAGTCCCAGGGTCCTTAAGTGGTATTTTGATGTCACAAGAAAAGACCGAAACACCTTTCTTCAAGTGAAATGCTCGGTTTCTTCTTTATCCAAACGAGTTCATTGTGTGCGACGTGAGGAGCTCTCTTCTCTGGGTTAGGCTTCTTGAACCGAACAAGTTCCCTATGTGCAACGCGACGAGATCTCTTCTCTAGGTCAGGCTTCTTGAATTGAATGAGTTTGCTCTGTGCGAGGCGACCAAATCTCTTCTTTGGGTCAGCCTTCTTGAACCAAACAAGTTTCCTGTGTACGACACGACTAGATCTCTTCTCTGGGTTAGCCTTCTTGAAGTAAGTTTGAAAAGCTCGGTTTCTTCTCTGCCTTATTGATGATCTCTGCCTTGCTGCCTGGCTAAAGTTTGTGAGTCTTTTGATCTCTGTTTCACGTTGCTCACATCACATTCTTATCATTTGAACTTGTAATGCCTTTCAATGAATTAGCAATTTTAGTTGATGAAAATCCTATATGAACAAATTGATAGGGGAGGAATACAGCAAAAGGATTCAAGGTATGCTACAAGGGATGCAAGCATAGTTACAACTAAGGCCACGAATCAAGTTTTGTGTGCAAAAGACTTTGATTTTTTTAATATCCACTTAAGACCTAAAATTTTTTTAGGTTAGTAGAATTAAATTATTGGTAGTGAATATTGAATGGGTGAACGGCAGCTGAATTTGCTTTGGGTTTAAATCCTGCCTTTATTTATGTTTGACCCAAAAAAAAGTCCTACCTTTATTTGTGAAAAATGGTGCTTTGATGAAAGTTCTTATAATTTTTTATTTTGTTTCTTTGCTTGTATTTTGGATTGAGTTTTATCATCAATGTATTAGTCTTTATTTCCAAAAAAATGACAGGGAATTCAAAAATAAAAATAATGATGATGTATTTTTAAACACCATAGCCATGTTTGATATAAATGATTGAAGTTGCAATAGCAATTAAAATAACCTTTATGTTTATGCTGCCATTGTGGATTAAAGATATGCAATAGCTACTAGAAAGTCATAAAGCTACATACTTCAGTTTGCTATTTCTTTAGGACAGCTATATGGAACTGCTATATATATATATATATATATATCCAAAAGCTGCCTAACCTAAGTGTCTCTCTTTTATTTAGACATTTTTTTTAATTAGAGCATAGACTTGAAGCAGGGGGAGTGCTTTCTAACTCTAGTTTTAATGACATTTAAATGACCTTCGGATGAGAGATAGGGCCATGTTTTAAGCTAAAGTGAAAATATGATGTTTGTGGATTTAATTTTCAAAAGCTAACTCTGTGTGTGTGTTTATTATGTCTGTATGGTGTGTGTTTAAGAGGATTCCTAGCATTTGTATTAGGATGATATTTGTAATGATGTGGCTTGGGACTGTAATCATTGCATATACATGTCCTTTATTTTAGCTTATATGTAATCACAGTGGCTTGAGGTTTCATTTTAGGCATGAAAAATGCGTTTACATGAAATTCCAATTCTTTAAGCCAACAATCACTGCCTACTAATCTTAGAGCCTATCATGAAATTGTCAACATGTATACTCAAGCGTCCTAAAACTGTTTCTTTCACTACCATCCAAGTGCTTTGATTTACATGTTAAACAATTTGATTAATTGATTTGAAAGATTGCATAGTTCACATTTACTTTGAAAACTCCTGATCTCATAATTTTCACATGAAAGTGTCACCGTTGATGCTTGTATAAAGTTCATTGTGGACCAATCCCATGGAATCCAAATGTTATCATTCTTTAGCTTTACACTTAACTAGTGCTACTTTTGGGCAAAAAAAAAAAAAGCTAGTGCTACTTAATTTACAAAAATCACTAAGATTAGATTAATTAATCGAAATATAATGGTTATATTGCTCAAAATAAAATATATAATTTCTAGCATTTCATTTTGCTTGCATGCTTTTTTGACCACTCACAGCTGTTCATCATTTTTGTGATATTCGAATCAATTAAATAGCATGACAAGTAAAAGCC